GATTTACAAAAGTGAAAGATTGTTAGGTTCTCTAGTTTCCATTGTTTTGTATGGCAAAATGAGAAAAGTGAGAGTAAAAAGAAAAATCTATTGCTATAAGATAAATTTCTTTTTGTGTTTATGAAAATATTCAAGAGTAGTTCAGTTTCTGAAGGACATTTTTACATATTTACTTTTTGTCAAGGTCCCCTGAGGTGTTTTCTGTTAGGCACAGTTACACTTGGTTATGTCCATCTATCAGTAGTTGTGGAGTAGAGTCCTCCAGGAGCTCTGGACACTGCCACACAAACACCTATAGATACTCAGAAAACAACCTATTCCATGTAGCTCAGGAAGATAATGGGTTACTTCATTGTAATCCACAAGTCCAAAGAGTGTTTCCAAAGAGTGACAATTTTTAAGTTGGTCTACCCTGCTTATGTGATTAGTTGTTTCTGAGATGAGGTTATTCAGCTTTTTTCCCAAGTTTATTCTTAGTCCTCCAGAAAGTATTTTGGTATTTTTCTTCCTTCTGATATATTTTTCTTTCTTCCCATGTCTTTTTTTTTCCCCCGAAAATCAATCTTGTGAGAAGGGAAGAAAAGAAAATGAACTTATTCTCCTGATCTCTATGTCTCCACATACTGATTCTTGAGCATTACCAAATCTCCCTTATGTATTCAATAATTGGAGAAAAGATTTGAAGAAAGGCAATAAGCAGTTCTGAGAAACCTCCAAAGCGGTCATCTACGTGCAGTCTGAAAGCTTCCTGATGTCTCCCTTCAAATCCAAAATAGGCAGCTGGGCTAATTGTTTCATCATTTTAAAACACCTTGTTAGCAACCACATGCATGCATACATACATACATACAACGTGGCTGTCTTCTGTTACTGAATAAGGATGCACTAGGTGCCTTTTCAAGGTTGCATTAAGTCTGGTTACTTACTCTATACCATCTAGTGCAAGAGTGTATGGACTATTCGTAATGCAGTAGATGTGGAGATGGGTGACTGTCCGAGCCCAAGCTATTACTGAGTCTTTCATCTGTCTTTGGAGATAAAAATAGTGCAGCACAATTTCCTTCATGGTCCCCATAGCAATTAAAAGAAAAAAAGGGTTATTTCATTAACAGAGTGGATTGCAAAGGTGGTTGATGCAGGAGGGGACAGCAAAGCACAAAGGGTTGATACAGCTCCTGGCTTGCAGAAGGGAACTTGGTTTTGGAAATGTTAGACCTGGGGTGAAGTAAGGACCAATTTGGTGTGTGAATGAAAGAAGAGTACAAGTACTTACGCAGATGAACATACCCATTAGAGAAATTAATAGTGAAGAGTTGATAAATGGAAAAATGTTGCCTGACCCTCTAAGTAGAGGATAGGAAAAGGAGTGGGGAGAGCTTATGCTAGAAGTTTGAGAATCTTCTAATGTTTGAATGCTTGATGCTTTTTTGGTGATGGTGGCTTTTGTTTCCTTGAACCTCTGTTAATATTTTTCACAATTACATATACTTTGGAGCTAGACCCAAAATAAATACTGGACTTTTGCCCATGAAATTATTCAAGTTTAAGTTAAATATTCCCTGGTGCAGTATCTGCAGTGCCTCTGCAAGCAGGATGACTGAAATGCTAGCAATTGGAACTTTCAAACATAATCCTGTAGGATTCCTTTCTGCACAATTCTTAAAATATTGAAGATAAGAAGATGTGAAGATCTAAAATCTTATCTGAAGCCCAGAAATGTTAAGATTTTGAGCTTTCGCTGAAGTAAAACATATTCACCACGCTCTTAAAATACTCAGTTTGCAATACTGGAAATATTTTCCAGGCAGCATATTGGCCATGACACGGATCTATAGAAAATTGCCTTTTTGCATCATACGTGGCCTCATCAATATGAGAACAGAAATGTCACTGTCAGATTTAGGTCACTGTGGCCAACTTCATTCATTTGAAGTTCAGTTGATGTCATTAATTATAGTCACAAAATGCTTACATCTTTGAAAGTTCTTTATTTTTTGCACAGCCAGAAGCTTACCTCGTGGTGTCTAAATGAGCACTTTCTCAGAAGTGCTACATAGGTGAAGCAGAAGTGCTAAGAACAGCAGATATTCTGTCACGCTCAGTGAGGGGCTACTATAACAAAGTTTGGACGGGAAATTACTTCAGATAATATTGTTAAGGCTTAATTTCTTTATAAAAGAAGCAGCCAGCCATAACAAATTATTGTCAAGTGGTATTGTTTTGGTATATACAACTGCAAGAAAGAAATAGAATGTTCTTTGTGTATTTTGCCATTTATGTTTAGCCTCACACGTTTACTAAGGTTGACGTTCAAGAAGTACTTTTAACAAATTTTATGACCTATTCTTGAACTAGACGCTTCTTATATACATTGTAGTGTGGCTAGCTTTAAACAAGCTTTTCATCTTTTTTATGGTGTTTGTAAGTTAGTATGCTTAGCTGACAGTATAGTGAAAACATTTTTTTTTGTATTTGGCCACAAAGTACACAGCTGTTTTCTAGGATTTTTTTTTCTTTTTTTTTTTAGGAGTAGCAGTCTGTTCATCCATGTATCTAATCTTCCTCAGAAGGCTTCTGTCAGGAATTCTTTCTTCTTAGTAAAACAATGATGTATCTTTGAGGAATTTGACTATACCAAACTAATATGCTTCTCTCATCTGGTACTTGGCGAAGAGTGACTACTGATCGTTATCATTCCAAGTGGAAAAAATGCATTTTCTTACTTCCTTGCTTCATTCCCCAGACTTTCTAGGCTTGTCATTTAAATCACTAGTCTTTGTCCTTCTTGAGAGCAATGGCCTTTCTGCCTGGAGAGACAGGAGTGAATGTGAGAGCTACAAAATGCCATTAAACAACCACAGAAGTCATGATTTATCCTTACCAAATGCTGAGAAAGTTTGGGTGCTGCCTGTCTCCCCAATGGTTCAAGTTCTCTGCAGCTACTCAATTTTAGATACTCTGTACTCAAATTTAAATATTTAGTCTCATCCCCATGTCAACTGATGCTTTTTTATTATTATTTTGTAAGTTACTGTCCTGAACACTCAAGATACAGTATTACTTTCTGCTGTATCTTTAGCCACTGAAAATACAGTGCAGAATGTGATTGTTTTTCTATTTAAACAAGTGCCTATTTTCAAATGACTCCAAATAGGCATGGAGAAGAATGCTGCATGAGCCAGTTGACTTCCACGTAATTGCTCCTTTGCAAAACCAAAGCTTGATGAGTCATTGAGAAGTGTTTCCCATGGACTTTATGGATCTAGGGCAGGGATCTCAGTCAATCACAGTATTTTCCTACCTGCCCCAGGTTACCATGGCCTAACTTCCTTGTTTGGGCCGAAGTAGCTCTAAAATTTTACTGTACTCATTCCTGAGTGTTTGGTTTTATGCTCTTCCTTGCAGTTGGGTGCCCAGTATTAAAGTTTGCAAAATCGCTAGTTGCAATTAGTATTCTTGAATGTGACTATTATACCTAACTTTACCTAGATTGGTCTCACTGGCTTTAGTAGTATGTCATATCCAATATATATTTAATGTAACATACAGAAACAAGCGCAGTACCAAATGCAGGGCGCCTTCCTGCCCTTGCCTTGCAGAATCAGTTTGCCAGAAAGCTGCATCTCAGTCTGACTAACATGCTCCATTCCAGGGCGGCAAGCAGAGGGGCATTGCTTTTCCCAGGAAAAAGCTGCATAGTGTCATGGTTGGAACATTCTCCCAGAGGATGAGAACTAAATTTTGGCATCTTGGTTCCTGAATGAGTGCCCTGACCACTGTCTGCCTTTATAAACCAAGCCCTTTTGAATGCTATTAAAAATGTAGGCTGATAAAATTAACTTATCCTTGGAATTTTTGCTGAACCTAAGAAAAGATACTGTCCTATGTAAATGAGCACCTCTGAACTCCAGAAATAGCTTTGAACAGTGTGAAGCTACTATTTTTTAATGAAATTTTCCCCAGAAAATAGGTTTTAAGTGTTCATTAATCCTCTAGATTAAAGGAGAGTTTATTATTATTGCCAAGGCCTATGCAATATTAGGAAACCACCAGGCAATTCTGTATATTAGTTATCTTCAGCTTTGAAGGACAGAGCAGGGAAGGGATGCAAGTGAAGCCTGAGGAGTGCCAACCCAAGCATTGCATGTGGACAGGTTGCATTGCCCTCGGCCTTAAACCTAGTTCTTTCTGGTGTTGTCACTACCTTTTGGGCATAGAAACTCAAGTAATTTTCCTATGTGTGTGTTTTTTGGTTTTTGGTCTTTTTTTTTCTTGTTTTTTTTTCCCCTATAAAGGGAAATTGAGCTAAATTCTAGCAATCTACAGGAAATACAGTACAACCCAGTGATACCAGACGCACTTCAAACTAAAGTTATTCCTATTTTAAGAAGGAGTCTAAACAGGAATGAAGTTTTGGCTGGCCATCTAACGTGTTGCAATTACTGGAAGTGATGCTATTACATAGCCAGAGTTTCAAAATTTGTCTAGAATGTCCAGCAGTCATAAATAAAGTACCGTATGGTCTTTTGGTGTCAGGCAGTAAGGCGTTTAATGCGCTTTTTTCCTCTTGCAACTCCTTAGTCCTTAAACATGCAGATTGGAGAATCTAGCCATATTTTAAGTTCTGAGGAAAGCAGTGGAAAAACAGAACGTGTTTTCAGGCCGTACCTCAAATGGTGTGTCCTACAGTCCATAGTCTAGTCCTGGCCTCTGTAATTACTAGATAACAAAAGCATCAAATGTATAGTAGACTGACAGTTTTGCTGTAACATCAACATGCAGATTCTTCCCCTTTCCTTCTCTGAGCACAACATTGCTACACCTCTTCTGATTACTCTTTTTAATCTCCTGTTGTCACTATAAGTACTCAGACATTTTGGTGATGCTGTGTGCTGAAGAAAGTAGGACATGTGATAACTAGATGGGTTTTTTCACTGCTGATAACTTAGAAAATCTAAAGAACTCCTCCCTTACTGCTGGCATTTTTTCTAATTTCCTAGATTTCCCATGGAGCATCCCTGAACGATCTACAGAAAAAGAAGAGACGTGCCCCTCTTCCGCCAAGCCCGTCTGCTCCCCCCACTCCTGCCATGCCAAACAGGACGGAAGGAAGGGAGGACAAGCGGAAGAGCACAATGGGTGAGTGAGGCTCTTGTCTCCACGTCTTCTCCTGCATGTGCTTTGGACACTTGTTGTTCAGCAGTTCCTTAACTCGGTTATGCTGTGAGTTGGGGCCTTTGTAACTTGGGGGGAAAAAAAATCCCCTATATTCTGCAGAATGAAAGTCTGGAAATCTGTGCCCATGTTACCTTGCCAGCACTTTCTGGCTACCACAGGGTAGTAAAAGGTAGATGAATGTTCTGTATGCCTTGGGTATTCAAAAGCACAGGTGTCTGCCCTGATCTGTGACTTCAAAGTCACGCTAGTTTGATCAGTAAATGGAAAGTGAATGTTTACGAAGCCATGGGGTTTCCCTGAAACAAACTGAATTGAGCCAGAGCTAGCTCAGGCTCACCTCATGTTTCTGAATATATTTTATTTTATAATCTGAAGATTTTTGTTTATCGACTGATTGTATTTAATGAAGTTTATCTTTTTAATTTAGTGTTTAGTCCTGTTTCAAATTAATATCCCGTGAGTCTTTAGTTAATCAGTTGAAGAAAAGAATTGGTGTTGCTCTGGAAGAAATTCCACACATAGTTGGAGACAATAAAGAAACTGTAGTCATCAGCTGTACATGACACCACATTTACTTTGATACAGGAGGACTGACAAATGTTCTCCCAGATTTCTGTCGTTATCGGAACGCTAGCTTATTCACATCAATGGGAGCGTTGCCTGGGAGAGGACACCAAGATTAGGCTTTTAGCAAGCAAAGTGATTTTTCCACAAGTAGAGCTATGAGATGATAACCCCACATATTGGAACTTGTTTTTCAGTACATTAAGGGAATCATTCTTCAAGTGCCATTACGCACTCAGTGCACTCCAGTTCATGCCTTTGACCTCATGTTTCATAAAGTGCCTAAGACATACAGATATGACATCCTGTCGTACATAATTGCTTACATTATGAGTGCCTCACAGTTTAGAAAGAAACCTCTTGGCTTTGTTCCAACATTTATTTTCAGTAAATGCTTCACATTTAATGCCTCAGCATTTATGTAGCAGCAGGAGTCCATTATCTTGTGACATGTTCGACTCCATTGACATCTCTTAAATAAGCCCTCTAAGGAGAATGTTATCACCGTGCCATATAACACCAGAGTTTTTGGAAAATTGGCTTTCTGTTAACCATTGCTGATGTCACAGCCTGTCATCCCAGATGCCTTCCCCTATTACAGCAAGTCACTTGGTCACGGCATTTGGTTCTTTAACTTTCTGTAAGTGTTAATTTTATTTCATGACAGTGCTAGGAATGGCACGGATGAAACAGAACAGACCACTTCTATCGGCTGAGTGCTGTATACATAAGGGCTTCTTGGCCAGCCTCTGTTGATGTAAGGTGTCCTAGTATCATTTACTTTAATGGAGCTTTGCTGGTTTACACCGACAAAGAACTTGTCCCACAGTAGCCCCGGCCTCAGTGCTTTTCATTTTCTCCTGCTTTCTTGAATGAATGCCTTCATTAACAAGAGAAAATTACAGCAAGGGAAGGTTGGTGAAACAGCCTCTCTTTGGGGCCTTCGCAAGAAAGCGATGAGAAAGCACAGATGGCTCAGAACACAAGAGGGAAAAGCTGTGAACAAAGCAAGACAGTAGTGAAGGGGAGAGAAAGTGCTGCAGGAAATAACAATGTGATGGAGAAAGGATTAAAGATACCTGCATATCTCCCAGCCTAGCCAGGTGAATCAAGGCAGAGGAGCCTAACGAAAACATTCTCAATTGGGCAGACAGAGGTCTTGCAGTATTCAACACTGAATTGCCTATTGTGACTCTGAAGGACTGTGCCCAGTTTTCTCAAAGCAATCAGATTGCCTGCAAACGGATAGATCCTTTAAATTGTATCTTGAATCTCTAGAAGCTAGTGATTCTTAAGAACATCTCAGTGAGTTTAATCAATTCTCTCCTTGCTGCTTTATCTTTTTTTGGCCGCACCGGTGCCTAAGAGCATAGGAATGGTCATAATAGCTCAGACCAGCATCTCCCCTCAGCAACGACTGCGAGAAGATGCCTAAGGAAAGCTGTAAGAACAGAATGAGCAGGCAGTCATGTTTCCTCAGCAGGCTCTGCCCAGCTTCTGAGGACTTTCTGAAATGCAGGATCAGCATTTATGGAGATAATAATCTAAGGATCAATCCATCTCAAAATGCCCAAGTCAAGTCTGGAACACTGGTTGATGCAAATGCTCACTTGTATGCATGTGAAAGTCAGAACTGGAGCTTTAAATAAGTCCAAAAGAAGGATGGAAACACAATGAGAAGCTACAGGAGTCCTCTGAATTTGTAGGGAATGCCACAAATAGCCAAGTATGACAATAGCGAATGTGTTTTCAGATTTAGATCTGTGAGTCATTGCATGTGTCTTTGCTCAAAGCTAAAAAGGGAGGAGATGCAGCTTCAGCTTCAGCTCGCGTCAGCTAGCTCTAGCTTCATGTGTGACAAACTGGCAGCCGTTTTTGACATTGCAGATGGTTAATGCAATATAGTGAGTGCAAAGGTGCGTGATTTTTTTTAGCTTATTTTGCACAGTGCTGAAATAAATCCCCAGCTAAAGTTCTAAGCATTTCCATAGGTAGCTTAAAACACTGTGTGGCAAAGAGCAGATTAATCAGATGTTTCTTCACAATGTCAAAATAATAAAACAACTTCTCAGAAAAAGGAAAAAAAAAAAATCAAGATGCCTTTCTAAAGGTACTAATCTGACACATTTTATTTTTCTCTCAAGGAGCCAGGGAAGTAGTCACATAGCGATTCTAGAGGTCAAAAAATTGAGGCAGTTTGCCACTTGAGGAGATGAAAATAAAGCACTTTTTTTTCACATGTTCTCATGTGCTCTACCTATTTTTTTCTCACACACTTTTTTCCCCGTTTTTTTTTTTCCCCTCCTTGCTTGTATCTGCCAAGAGACCGGTGAAGGTTTGTTCTGATGTATGTGCTGGGCCCGATTCCGAACCCATGGCCACCACCTTGCGAGGGATCTAGTTTCTCTTCCGATGTCTATATTGTGGTAAATAGGAGGAGGATTGGTCCCGGAGGGGCTTGGGGCACGGGAGAGGGAGCAGTCCGTGTACGTGCGGGATGTAACGGCACACAGCGCAGCCGTTACCCCGGCGGTGACGTAACTCGGCGTCCGTTGCTCCCCGTAGGTGCAGGCCGGCGGGCGCCCGCCAAGCCCCCTAGAGGCGGCGCTCGGGGCCCGCCGCCCGTAGCGACCCCCCCGCCCCCGCCCTGCCCTCCGCCCGCCACAGCCGGGACGGATCCAGCAGCCCCTGGCAGAGGAGCAGAGGTTGCAGCACCCACAGAGCTGGGACCCGAACGTACGTTGCGGAATACATCTGTCTGCCTCTCCTCTCGCTTGACTGGCGCTCTCGGGCGTCATTTTTCCAGACTTTCCTCTCTGCTCTTTAGGCATTCCTGTCTTCCCCCCTTTTCCAGACTGTCCTCTTTTGAAATGCCCAATGCAGTGTAACTAATTACTGTAACATAAATGAAGCACGTGTTTGGAGATTTTCTTTTTTTTCTTTTTTTTTTTTGATGATGCCTGGCCATTCTGTAGAAACATTTAAAAACCACCATTAAACCATGTGACTTTGTGCAGTTGGAAGCAAGGCTTGGTTGTCACGTATTGATTCTTCTTTCTCTCCTGAGAAATTCTTATGAGAGCCAATAGATCTATGGGTCTAGGTTGGAAGTTGCTAGGTGCCTCCCTTGAGGAAAATGCCACCATTTTATGGTGGCAGGAAAATGCCACCAGCTGCATATTGCTACAGGTTTTCCTGTCTTAATGGGTACATCTTCCATGTCATCACTGAATAGTCCTTTGTGTGCTCTCCCCCTTGGGATGCAACTGTTATGAGACAAAAAAAAAACCCCAAAACCTGGGTATTTGCAAAAAACATATTTCCATACTGCGTATCCATTGACTGCCTTTAAATCTCCAGGCCTTTGACCCTGTCAGATGCTCCTTGTGGGCTTGCCCTGCACACACAGGCAGCTCTTGTGAGGCAGGGAAGCTCTGCGCAGCACCGCATCCAGTGGGCACACTGCTCTGAAGGTAGAAGAGAAGGTTTTGTCCTAGAAAAAATCCTAGAGGGATTTTTCCTGGCCATAGGAGAGTGAAGCATCACCACAAACGTTTCCTCATTTGGCAAAGGTCTTTTCCAGGCTGCTTTCTTTACAAAGATTATTCTGCAGGTACCTCTTGGTCTCTCATAAAATGATGTTAGTGCGTTTGAATATCAGCTAAATCCAAAGCAAATGCAGGCTGACAAGTTTCGTGCTGAAGAGAGAAGGAAATTGAGATGGATGCTAGCAGAAAACCTAAGTCTTATTGAGGATTAACTAGCTCATTCTTACCAGCCAATGCACAGAAAACATCATGGTTGAAATATTTTCTTTTTTGTTTTCCTTTTACCATCAGCTTGCCTACACTATTTTCTTTATTAAACATCTGTTGTGGCCTTCTTTGCGTTTCCATTTCGTTTTCATCTGAATATCTACCATTGCAGTGTTTAGAGATGCTTTCCTGATTTACCGTGGTGATCAAATACACTTCAGCCAGTGCAGCTCTGATTTTATCAGCCAGATCATTTACTCTTAAACAAACACAATATCCTAGCCAAAATGATTTGATTAAGCTTGTACATGGCAACATTACATGAGCTTTTATTATCCTCAGCTTACTGAGAACTAAGGGATAATGCATAGTGGATATTTTAGAGACGTAAAGCATGGAGAGCGTTTTAGAGACTTAGTGTTGAAAAAACGACACAAAAACTTTCTGAACTACCTGCTGCCTTACCAAGTTATATGATGTTTGGTGTATGTGTGTATAGATTTACCCATGAGCGAAAGCAGCACATGTGACATGCTAATTATATTGCCTAATGCCATTCTGAAAGGTGCTTAGATACCGTCGCGATTGACTGGTATAAGAACAGAGTTCTGCAATGAGGTGTTTTATTGCCTGAGAATGCCC